TATCTATCTATCTATCTATCGTGTAGGTTTGTCAGTCAGCAAGAGAATTGGCACATTGTTGAATAAAGCCTGGCAGAATAAAGCGTCCACACCTTTAGCAGGACAATGTCAGATATGGAATAACACACTGTGCACGAATAATTCTATAATAATCACTAATTCAAGCCATGTTATTCAATTTCGTTTGACAAAAGTTGGTATTTAGAGGGCCAATGAATGTGTGAGGCTTTGACATTTAATCTGCTCTCTGACAAATCATGTAACGACATAACAGATCATCATGAACTTTATACACCTTAATCCTTCATATTCTAATTTATTAGTTATAAAAAATAATAATCTGAATATCAGACAATGTTTTATAAGGAATAAGTAAGGTTATTAGCATTTTTGACACTAGGCTGATTGCAAAAATCTAGTTTTCACAAATGTGTAGATATGTAAGGTAACACTATGAAAGAAACTCAAGGATTCAAGGTTATTTTATTGTCATTTATAACATAAGGTTGTAGAAATTCAGATACAGTTCCCCATATGCTACTTTAAAAGATATATATTAATTTATATAATGAATTGTTGAGGAAGAATTTAATAATCTCACAGCTTGAGGGAAGAAGCTGTCTTTGAGTCTGCAGACATGTAGCACTTATATTATACTTTTGCTTGTGTGAAATGAAGTTAAAGTACTGATTTATTCAATTAAAGTACTGATGTACTTTACAGTTTCAGCGGGAACCTCCAACGCGCAATAGCACCCTCAAGTTGAAGCGTCCTCTGTGCAGAGAAAAAAAAGGTTTATGGCAACACCCATGCCAAGGAGATGGGCAGGGCAGATGTAGGGAAATAAATAATTGTAGTATTAGCAACAAGAGATGGGGGAGAAAAGGTTATTGCAGGATTGGGAGTGAAGTAGGAGATATGAACTCTCTTGTGTAAAAGGTAAGTATCAATTTCTTTAATGTCATTAGCAGATTTCATGAAATTCAGTTATCGGTTCATTATTTTTAACTGTTATTCCCTTTTATATGCCATTTGTTCTTTAGAGAGAGAAGGGGAGAGGAGGAGAGGAGGCAGGAGGGCAGTAGGAGGTTCGAACTCTCTTGTAAAAGGTAAATTATCAATTTATTTAATGTTATTTATAGATTTAATGAATTTCAGTTATCTGTTGGTCATTTATAATGATTATTCCCTTTTATCTACCATTTGTTCTTTAAAGAGAGGAGGAGAGGAGAGAGAAGGTGGGAGGAGGAGAGAGGAGGTGGGAGGGCAATAGGTGTGCTCTCACCCATATAAAAGGAAAGTATCAATTTATTTAATGTAATTAGCAAATTTCCTGAAGTTCTGTTATCTGTTCATAATGTTTAACTATTATTGGTTGGTCTGCCATTTGCTTTTTAGAGAGAGTGGAGGAGAGAGGAGGAGGGAGGAGGAGGGAGGAGGAGAGAGGAGGAAAGAGGACGTGGGAGGACAATTAAAGATTTGAACTCTCTCATGTAAAAGGTAAATATCAGTTTCAATGTCATTAGCAGATTTCATAAAGTTCAGTTATCTGTTCATCATTTTATTTTCATTATATTTTATTATTCCCTTAGTAATAGGAGGTTTAACTCTTTCATGTAAAAGGTGCAGAAAGATGTATTCAGTAAGTTAGAAACTGAAGCATATTTGTAATAACTGCAAAGTCCTAAAATGTTTTTTTCTTCCCAGCTGACCACAGTAGAAAAAACCCTAAATTACAAATTCAAAAACTCCCCAAAGTTAAACATGTCTCAAAAGTTAAACAGTGTCTTTTAGCGCGATCAAATCGTGAAAAAAGGGGTTTTAAATAAAATGTCAAAAGATGAAGAAACATCTCACTTTGGTTTCTTAAGTTTATGTTTTACCTCATGGTTTACCTTTGCAATCCTATGTTGGAAAATAAAGAAAAGGCTCTGTATTTTCATATTGTTATACTGTTGTTTTCTACAGAGCATTCAGCAAAAAATTGCACAATGGGCGTTTAAAGTTTGTTTAGTGGCTGAGGGCAAAAAGAAAATGACCTTTAAACTGTTCAATAGTCCAAGTCCTTTATTTTCCTTTTTGTTTACACCACTGAATTAGTGCAGTGTATTTACCAGACAGATCCGGTTGGTCCAGACCAAAGAAAAAATCAAAACTGCTTTAAGATTGGCTACATAGAAATAGCCAATCTTCTTGCTGATGGTGTTGTTTTTTTATGTAGCTCATATACAGGCTTCAGGTTTCATAACCAGTTAAAAACTTCTTGCAGTACATTTAATTTAAATTCCTGCTTCAGTTAAATACTTATAGGTATATACATACCTATAAATAGGACATTTGGCTACACTTGGGTTTCTCCTGTTAAAGGTAACATATTTTGAAACAAGGGGAATTAGATTTGTTGTATTATTCACACACAAGTACAGTAAACTAACTTTACTTGTTAAATTGTGAGAAAGCGACATATATGGGCACTCTCACAAGGAGCCGTCGCTGTAAAGTCTAAAACCAAACTTTATAGCAGACAGTTTATATTTGGAGACTGCGGACCTCCCTCCTAAGTCAACAGCTGTTTGTGTGCAGGCACAGAAATGTACACAACATCTCCTCAGTGTGTAGATACATGAACTGTATGGACAGTGCATGTGCTGTTTGTCAAGTTGTGAATTAGGCTTTTTACATCACACTGAATGCAGCACTGTGTACACCTCATTAGGCAATATGTTATGTGCTGTCGGTCATATATTATAAGATAATACAGAAATAATAAACCATATTTATCATTATTATTATTATTCTGGCACCAATGTAGGAACAGAGTGTATCCAGTCTGCTTAATGCTGTTCCACTTTGCCGGTTTCTCTGTTAGGGGTCAAAAAGGGAGGCTGTATGCAAAGGGGAAATTGAATTCTAAAGGAAATCTAAAACTGCCTGGCAAGTAGTTTAAAATGGCTAAAACCTACTATAATAAGTAAACACTGAAAGCAAGAGACTGACTTTCCACCGAGGCCTTTGCAAAAGGGAATTACAGGAAAGCAGTAATTCATTTTCTGATACAATCCAGCAACGTTGTGCTGCTGTCACTGTCAAGAGCCAGTGGCGTTTTATTGACAACATGGAAAGAAAACTACCTATCTTTGCTTTTGAAAGAGCAGGGAGTGACAGGAGCTGCTAAAAGCATTTCAGATTTACCTCTGCTGTGCTGTAAAACATTCTGAGACATCCAGGATTCAATATCCCCGAGGCACAGCCGGTTGGGCTGGCAGGTTATTAGTGGGAACCATAGAGGGAAAAGTGAAACGAAATATGTTTAGAGGCCAAATGAGAACGTATAGTCGACAATGAATGGAAGATTAGACAGAGAATTGAGACTTGTGTCTCCCCATATGTGATATTTAAAGGATATCTTAATGATATCTACGCCTTTGACAAAATATTTTCCAACCTTTTATAGAAGGTATGTGAACTAGTCCAGATATAGTGATTGCAGGGCTCAATTAAAAATGAGTCACTGACAGTATCAAAGCTGTTAGAAAAAGAGAAGTTGGTTACTGGATAAAGTTTTATCTCTATGCAACAAAGAGCGCTAAAACCTAAATATACTGCTGCTATTTGAAATTTGGTCCATAAAACTTAAGATGAGTCTGAATGTTGGAGGAGCCATGAGGGTCTTGGAATTAGGGTTCCAGTTTTCCTTTCTTCCCAAGAAGGTCATGTACTCTGTGCCCAGAGAGCTTCTTGTAATGCATCAAAGACAAGAAATGTCCACCTTAAAGACCTCATTGGGTAACTTGGGAGGGCCAATACTGAAGGGAATAGCCTCGGGAATGATCAATACATCAGACTCATCTGCTTTAAAAAGCTGTCAGGTGACAAGCTCTTTTATCTCTCGATGCTCTCGATGCTTGGTGAAACACAGAAGAAACATCTTGCATTCCTCTGGAGATGCTTCAATATGTAATTGTAGGGAATATTCTCAGTACGGACAGTTCCACCAAACATTATCCTGGACATATACAATTGCTAGAAATGAGAGCAAGAGTGTGCCACTCTTGGATGTGTTGACTTTATATTTATACTTATGTTGCATCGTGTCTTTTCCGGTATAGAAAAGTATGCCGATTTACCAGTTATGGTTTACTCGTGATTAGGGATGCACAGTTTCCTGATATTTCCCCAACTCATTTTGGCTGATACCGATTTATGCACATACTTTCCCCCCTAATGACAGTGTGCATAAAATCTCTGGAATTAACATATTATGCATACTTTTATCACAGTGGCCCACTGAAAGTTGCAGACATAAATACAATGCTTTTCAGAATGTTTTTACATTATCTGGGCTTCTCAATGCACCATCAGTCATTGCAAATAGAAACATTGCTGTTTCTGACTTTTAAAGGAACTTCCACACCTAATTAAAGCTTTTTATTCTTATTGGCAGAAGTTTTCATTTGGGCCATTAGCAGTATTTCATTTTAAAGCCTCTATTAGCTGGTAATGTGAGAAAATAATTATGCTAACAGGGTTATCTTATTGGACTTGGATAATGGGAAGTACAGGGTCCAGCCATTTTCGAGCTCTTGACCCACAGTAGGGACTGAAAGTCTACAAATATCTCTGTAGCCTCTTCTGCATTTTGATTAAACTGGAGTATCCCTTTAAAAGACGCTGCCTCCTGCCATTTCCACTCCATCTGCAATTCCTGACAGGCCTCGTTTCTCCCTTGTTTATTGTCGAACAGAACATCTGTCACAGCGAGCAGAGCGTAATGCACTAGACACAGCAGCCACCCACAAAACTGTCCCATGGCAACTAATACAGTGTCAGTTCACATACTGTACTGCAAGTTTCACATTTATAACTGAAGGTCAGTCCTGGAGCAAAGGTACCCGACTGCCATCTAGTGGCTTTCACAAAAATCTCAGAGCCAACTTTATTGCTGCGTGCCTCACTGTCGGTCTGCATACCCCCCACCAGGGAGGAAGAACGTATAGGTGGCCTGATTGCCTCGTAATTTTAGAAATTAGGAATATTAATGTCAACTTTAAGGAAGAGTTAAAAAAAAAGCCTCAAAATAATGATCCAATCACACCAACTTTTAATCTGTTAAGTCTTTAATTATCGCTACGAGAATTAACAATAAAAAAAAAAATAACAGATGTACACAAGAGTTCATACAGTAAATCAAAATGATTGAAACAAACATGGCTCTCAGGTATGTTGGTTAATAATAAATTCCATGATGAACAGATTAGCGAGGGTTTGACAGGACAGGGGCATCTGTTTCAACGCAAAATGGATTGAGAATAGTTTGAGATGGCTTGAAAGGTCCTAAATGGAATAAAACTTAATAAATACACAGTATAAAACTCAGTTCTACTCTCTCAATGTTCATGTAATGTAAATGAAAAGAAAAAACCCCAGCACACACCCTCTCCACATTTAAATGTGGCCAAAGAAAAATTGACTAACAACCAAACAAACTTCAAGAATCCATGTGATCCATTAAAAAAACACCACCATCAGCCTTTTCCTAACATAAAGAACCTGTTGGGAGGGATCGCTGTCATTCATACAGAGAATTGAAAACAAAAAAAAAATGGAAGTTACAAAGAGAAAAAAAGTACATGATAAAGTCAGAACAAGCAAAAAAAGCAAAAAAGAGCAAAAAAAAAAGAAAAAAGAAAAGAGGCCCAACACACACACTGCCTTTTCACCATTCACAGGTGGCCTGCAGCCACCTAGTGGCTATAAGTGGTAGTGATGTCACGTGGATGTCAACCTTTAGCGGTACAGTCTGAAGTCACAGCTGGGAACATCTCTCTCCTGCTGCCACAGCTCCACTGACTGTAGCTTCAGATCAGAGATCAAACGAATGATCTCCATTACTAAGGGCAGCTAACTAAACGCAAGTGCCAGCTCAGCTCTACGGGTCACATTCCTCTGCCAGTGTGCTGCTGCTGTTGGGTGGTGATGATGATAGGGGGGACTGTTTACAGGGGGAGGAAGCAGACAACTGATGGTCCTGATCACACAGGTACAGTACAGTTCAGGTGGGAGGGATCCTAGTGAGAAGGTCCTCAGTCACTGTCAAACTTAATGGAGTTGACGGAGGTAGAGATGGCTCCCCCGCGGTAGCTGCCCCTCTTCTTCTTCGTCTTTTCATGGCGGAATGATTTGCCTTTTGTGAACCTGAGCACATCGTTCGCTTTCTGGCCCCAATCCCCCGCGGCTCCATACTGAAATAGCAAAAGACGAATGAACGCGTTTTATAATAAATGATTGTGTCACTGCAGCAATGCTAGTGTGCAGTGCTGCTGTAGGAAACCGTGCAACGGTTACTGCACTCACCTTAGCATCAAAAGAGTTATCTGCAAGACGGGGGTCCACCTCTACGGTTTCCTCTACTATTCTACGGAACGGTACGTTGGACTGAAAGACAAGTCATTTCCATTATCAAATTATAGCTCTTCTCCCTTCAAGAAAACAATCACTTTATGCAGCAGCCATCAGTTGTACATGTTCTGACTGAAGTTCCAGTCTCTAGCAAGGCCTACCTTCTTATTGGCTTTAGGAAACGTCTGTGGTGTGGTCGTTGCTTTCTTATTTTTTGGTGTCTTGACATCTGTTTCTTCCTCTTCACTTTCTGATGATTCTTCATCTCTTTTTCTCTTTCCATTGGTACCTGCATGATCCAGAGGAAAAAGAGTTACTTATATTGGAGGATAATTAAACCCATTAACCCATTAGTACATTTCATCTCCCTGTTTAATGTTGAACGCTGCATCGCGTTCTGTATTTGTCCGAGACTCACCATTTGTCGTAGGGGTAGTGGGTGCTGTGGCTGCTTTGCGTGGGGCCTCCTCCTCCTCTGATGAACTGTCTTCAGAGCTGCTGCTCTCTTTAGCTTTAGCTGCTGGGGTCGTCTTGGCTGTTGCAGCCGGTGTTGCAGGTTTTACAGTACTTTTACTGGCTGCTGCTTCCTCTTCTTCTTCAGAGCTGCTCTCACTGGATGAGGACTCTGCTGGCTTTGCTGGGGCCTTGGCTGCTGGAGTGGCTGCCTTGGGCGTTGCTGCCTTGGGCGTTGCTGCCTTGCCATTGGTGACTGTGGGCTTAGCAGGGGTGGACTTTGCCTTGGTATCTGAATCAGAGCTGTCTGAAGAGTCGGAGCTGCTCTCCTCTGCCTTCTTTTTTGGAGCTGCAGCTGCCTTTGTGGCCGCAGGCTTGGGTGCTGGCGCTGCCTTCTTGGGCTCCTCCTCATCACTGGAACTGTCATCACTGGAGTCTGCAGGGGCCTTGGCGACAGCCGGCTTTGCTGCAGGCTTTGTAGCAGGCGTAGCTGCTTTAGTTACAGGCTTGGCCTTCACTGGTTCTTCCTCGTCCTCAGAGGAGTCAGAGTCAGAA